CATCTTTGTGCAATCCTTCTATTTTATAAAGCGCTAACTTTGTGTGTCGGTTTGTGTATCTGTATGTGTGTGTGTGTGTGTGTGTGTATGTGTGTCCGTCCGCAAAATGAAGTGAGTGAGAAGGAAGCTCATGGGATAAACAAACCGCTAACAAATCGGGTAGCTTACAGGATTTGAGATATCAATGTTTTGTAGCAGGATAGTTGTGATAACACTCTTAGGGCTATATAAACACCTGCTTAGCACACTTCCGTTCATTCCACATGGTGCTGCAGTGGCAGCTGGAGGGCAGTGGAGAGAGGAAGGGAGGATGAGGAAGGGAAGCGAAAAATCTACCGTCATATCATGATTGTGTCCCTTCTACTTTGAAACACCATTGTGTTGCATACGCGTCACTTCCACGAGGTGTTGGTGTCACAGGAGGAAGGGACCATAGCGGAGGATAGAAAGCTTGCGCAGGAAAGGAAGGTCCCGGCGGTTGACGGGGGACTAATCTGGTCAATACAAGATAATTATGAACAGGTCAACACAACAAAACCAAAATGAGCGCAGCAGTAAACATCATCTTTGAATAAGGGTTCAAATTGTATGCGCATCCGTTGTCGCCGTAATTTTGGCGTCATGAAGTATTTATTATTACTATGTACAAGCGGGGGCTGGGGGGTTCAAAAAAGAGTAGATTCCCTCCATATTCAAAACGGATTCAGTTATACTTTGCCAATCCAAACCGAATGACCTCTAAAAATTGTAGAGCACATTCCAGTCTACAATGAAACCACATAAGAATCTTCTCCACCGGCGACATCAGAATATTTTTCCATGGAGGAGCGTTTGGTGAAGTAGTGAGAAGCAATTTGACAAAAACAGTAACCACGAACCGGATTTGACTTTATTTCGTGCTCTGCTTTTCTTACTAAAAAGTCGCCGTTTGCTTTGAGTATTGTTTTGACATCTTCAATTGGTATCATTCCGTGATACCATTCCTCTTTTTCCAGCTCCTAAAAAGGAGGTGGGATAGTATTTCAAATAGTTCAGTGGGCACTCAACCTTTAAAAGACACATACCTCCCACACAGACCGGAGAATTCGTTGTGGTGTGCTCTAAACATTCTGTTTTGCTTTGGTTGTTCTTAAAATATCAGCTCCGTTATGATTTTAGACTTAGGGTTTACCAGTTTCTCAACAGGAGTCCTCGGTGCAGGGCGATTACGTGTACTCTGCTCCAGAAGAATCATCCGTTCTGATACTGCTTCAGCCGTCGGCAATTCATCCACGTCATTTTTCTTGCTGAAAATCAACTGTGTATCAACGTCATAGGTGGTCTAGGCCTCTCAGCACGCTGGGGGTGTGGTTGAGAACCTTTCTCAATACTTTTCCCGTCAGTGAACCAATGACGTCATCAAAACCCCATCGCTGCAGCCTTTTGATAATTGCACTAAATGATAACCTTCCATGGGGCGCAATATGGAGAATCTGCCAAGGAAACGGTGCAAGATTCGATTATGGCGTTCGACGGCTGTGACTGATAACGATAGGATGATAACATCGTATTCATTAGAACGGTCATAACAGTGAACAAGGGCTTGCTTCTGACTGTATACGGACATTTCAGAAACATTTCACCGTAAGACCTACATCATCACCGGAACCCCGTGCGATGAATAGCTTGCTGATGTACGCCATGAGCAAAAATCTACTTTTCGCTCTCCTTTTATAGAGATGCGCTCAAGGCAGAGGTTCTTCACTATGACAGGGATTGAACTGATGCCGTCGCGTTCCTTCTGAGCCAGCCCTTTCTCAAACCAGCTCTAAGATCATTGAATAGCCAAGAGGCAACAGATTAAGGACTTTGAAGGGTTTTGAATTGCTACATATGTACTATAGAATATTGGACCAAGCGTAGCTAAATTTGTCACATGAACCATATTTGTAGAGTATACGTAGTGTAGCACTGGAAAGGAGTTTTGTAGGTATTCACTTACAAGGGTCTGTTGAGCGCTTCCTCGGGAAAATTTCAAGAATGCCGCCCACGCCTCTCGCGTCCACTGCTCTATCATGGAGGTGGACTTTAAGGTGTCGAGAATGTTACAAGGAGCACGAAGACATCCTCCAAAATTCTGTGAGAAATTTGACCAAATGGCAGAATCACGTCCGCCCGTACGATCCATAGTCCGTGTTTGAAGCAAAATCGCTCTGGATTTATTATCATATCTAGAAGCCTTAACCACTGAATGCCTTTCAGTTCACGTCTGTCATGCAATGAATTGCAAATTCATTTAGAAGTGTGGATTCCTATGCTCTTATAATGGTTGACTTTAAACGTACCCAGGTATTTGCTTCTGTGTATCTTGTTCTTGCGTTTGGTCGGTCGTTGTTAAGTATGTGAACTTCGCCTTCGATACAGTGAACGCAGTACCTATAAGAGACTTTGGCGGTTTGCCCAACATACCCTTTCTTTTGTTTAAAAATATTTCTATATCTGTCTTTGCCTCTATCAACCGACCTGGAGGGGTTTTGACAACATCAGCGATCTTCGTCTCTGCCGGTTTCGACGATACGCGGAGAGCTTGAACTAAACGACATTGAATTATTCTTTCGACAACTATTTTTCATATTTCTGCCAATTTCTCACCAGAGTTGTTATGCTCAGCTTTTGGAGATTTGTATGGATGCTGTCGGGAAACATCTTCAACGCTTTTCGCGGTTTTCACCATCTCGTTTCTACTAACATCTTCAGATCCTGTTACCGATGGTTTGTGAGGACTTTGAAGTAGGGGTGACGCTATGATTTTGTTCGGTGAGATTCCAATTTTGTGTTGGTCCCCCGGCGTCGATGTCGTCCGTGGTGGATGCATCGGCTTCACATACGTTGCAGCTGTAATAGTTGCGCATTATAGGGCATATCTTGTTACATGCATAGCCCCTACCGTTAACACATTTACGCCGATATCAGCCACAGGTCTGCCAGTTAATAATCGTCTACCATCGTTTGTCACATTTCTTGCATCTTTTTTATATCGGAATGATTAGCTCTCACGATTAGTAGAACTATTATTTTGTGCTAGGCCGTCGAGAAAATGTTAATTTATGGCCAAGCTAAAGATAATTTAACCGGGCCCAACAGCCCGGTAAAATGTTATGTTCTCCGCCATTTGGAGTACCTTGGGTTAAATTGAAACTGGGACTATGCTCGCTGAACCAAACGCTCTCCGGAAAGAAAGTGTTGTTGGAACCAATCAAACAGAGACGCAATTCAAGAAGAACGCTCGGTCTCGAAGAGCACGTGCTTTTCCTTCCCCACTCTCATGCTTTGACAGAAGCTATGTGGCCAAGCGCAAAACAGTGGTGATGTTAGAGTACATACGTCTCTTGCTAAACGACGGCGGCTGTCCAAGTCCATATGAGAAGTTTTCGAATTTTCAACACCTACGTGATAAAAGGTAGCGATGAGGAAGGTGGCTGTTTATCTTCGGAAACGTGCGGTTGCTATCAAATTTATCCGATTCTATCGAGAACCTCTTCATTTTCTAAATTACTTGAACAACTGTTGGTTCATTTGTATTATGGCGAGGTGAATGTGATGAGATTTGTCCGCCCTTACCTCACACAATTAAGTAGTAAATATTAAGCAGAACAATTTCAGCACATTGAAGGGTAGGGTAAATCATAGAACCCATGTGAGACAGCCACTTTACAGTTGATTTTGGACACTGAACGACTTTTCTGCGGAGATTGGAAGAAGGGGAGGGTGAGGCGTTGCATGCGCACCACACTTTTCACTCAGCTAATTTCGAAATGTGCTTTCAACAACAAAGTAACCTGAGCTTATTCGGACTTTCTACGCCTAGTGTTTCGTTCTTGGTTGGGCTCTATTCGACCTTTGTGCATTAACTACTAATTCCCAATCTTTGATGTAAATTGCATTGCAGGAATGGAAAGTTTTGCGGTCCTTCCTTGAGCCATGTGTTGCTCACTTGATCGCTAAGTATAGCATCAAAAAAAACCTTAGCGATTGGCTACTTACGGGTGCAATCACCGGCAGAGTTTTTGCGGAACAGAGTGGAAGGGCTACACGAAAAGAATGAACTTCACTCACAGTATCAGTTTTATTATTGAGGTAATGCTAAATTGATCAACAAACTGACTGCGTTGCAACAACACCCTATGCAATGAATGACTCAGAAAGATTCATAGCTTGCTCGAGTTCACCATAACCAAAAAAGGACTTTGAATGGACTGGTAACGAAGATCTGCAGACAGTCGTCCAGTTCGAGGTAATCATGATTTGAAGCTTTCGAGCTTTATATATGGGAGATTCGATGGCTTAAAGGTGAGGGCAGAGGAAGCGGTGGGCAGAAAATGAAAAGAACGACGTAAAATGTAGAATTTGCAAATTCAAAGCCACGAGTCGAGATTAGGTGCCAAGCGCTAGCCCCTTCTATGAAAAATGGAAAAGAGGGGCCTCGAGGCTTGGGAGGTGCAACGCTCAAAAGTGCAAGGCAACGGCGCTACGGCCTGCCTTGAATGCTGCCGTGCTGCGATCCTCAACCACAACGGCATGCGTGACGTCTGCACCCTCTCGCGTACGGCGTACCATCGTGTTTTCCTTGTCATCACAAGGTTGTGTCTTTCCTTCATACCCGACTAACCTCACGATCAAAAAATTCAGTGTTCTTCATAAAGCTCTTTGCTTTTTCTTCTAACTCACGTTCCTCAGACGCTTTTTTCTAATTTTAAGAAGAAAGATAATCGCTCAAAAATATCACCATCTCGATCCTGACTATTGCGTTTAACTGCCGCAAATACAACTCCAGCTACGCAGGAGTTTCGGAGGAATTTTGGGGCGGAGTTGATAGAGTGTTAGTTTTAGGCTAGGTGTAGGTGTGGGTTCAGGTGTTGAAATCGTCATCCAGAGGATGGGCCGTATCTACTACGAAACTTTCCGAGCTCTCCGTCAGAAGGGTCGTACTGCCTCGGCCAATTCCTTGACGACAATGGTAAGGCTCAGCCTCACTGATGAGGCCTCTGCTGTGGGTAGAGGTGCGAGTCAAAGTCGTGACAACCTAGCATCTCGAAATGCCTGACTGAGATACCTTCTCTGTGTCATATAGGTTGAACAGCTGTGCTGTTTCGAGTGGAATTTCTCTGACCCTCTCCCTGACCCACATCAGCTTCTTAGAATGCTCTGCAACGAGAACAAGAAGATTTGCTCTTTTTATGGTAGGTCTTCCTTCTTTCTCCACTTGTGAACCACTTCACATATCTACTTACGTATTATTCTGGAATCACAACATCAAATTGATGCTGGTCCATGCCTTTAACGCGATGTTAACCCTGGTCCGAGCATCAGCAGCCTACGGCGCTGAAAGCTGACCTACGAGTGGAGGAGTTGAATCACGTATCAGTGTAACGGAGATGAATTGCTGTGTTGCAGGGTCAGCGTCATTTGTTCGAGAGGGATCCATGCAAGGCTAATGTCAGACTTTACAGCGATTCGCTAGCGTTCGGTCGCGTTACGGTATCAGCCAATAGAGCGACACGCTAGTCGCAACGCGGCCGAGGGCTTCCTTTTACGAATCGCTCGATTTGCAAGTCACTTTGACATCGACCTGACTCTGGATGACATGCGAGCGAAGAAGCGAAGACTCCCGTAGTCACTGGATTACACAAAAGACCACAAGCCGGTTTTACAGCCCGGTGAATGACCGTTACCACGTTGACACTGAAGCGCGTAGCTACTCTACTTCTGTGTACCCGCGCATTCCAGTGTCAACGTGAGAGGGCGTAGTGCCTCGCACGTGAAGTGCACAACACCCTCACACACCATAGCCACCCCGGACAGCTGGCCGACACACACGCAGCGTACGGATACGCTGCATGCGTTTTGCGCGCAGGTCAAGGAAGGCAGACTCCAGCTTGCCGCCAAAACCTCTTCCGGTCAGTACAGCCACTTGCCATACTCCACCTGCATACAGCACAGACGCTCCGTACAAGAGACAGGTTCTATAACGTCCATTTTGTCGCCGTGGAGTGCGCGGAAAAACGACAAAAGGGCACGTCGAATTCAAATCGATGACACGTGACATCGCGCGCCAACCAGTCACGGGTTACGGTTGCGGTCACTCATCGGACTGCGTAATCTCACAATCAAAAAACATTTATGCATTCAGAACGAAATAATGTATGAGAACGAAATAATGTATGAGGTCGGGAGATTCATGGATCAGATAGAATGTCGAATAGGCTGTTAAGTTGAGCCAAACCTCTTCAACCCTAAAACAATCAATATAGCGGTATCAGGTTAACGGTGCGGACGGTAACGGTGTGAATCAAATAATTATTTCTTCGATGCTCTCACTCCATCACTGTATTTAAGCACATCAAATGATATTTTGGTTATGGTCGTTTTTTCATAGGAGACACAGTCATGGGGCCATAATCATCTTATCGTTGCTATAAAGTTATCAACTTGTGCTTAAGTTACTGCAAGTCATGGAGCAACTCCAGTCTTGCAAGCAAATTGCTTCCTGACAAGGCTTGGACATACTTTTCCTCGAAATCCCTTGAGCCTAGATTGCTCACAGATGAGCCGATGGTGGTGTACCACTAAGAAGGGAGGAGAGGGAGGTGGAGAAGAAGTGTGGCGTATGACTCTAATAATAGGAATTCAATTTATACTTCGAAGGAAGCTTCAGGCTGTGCTAATCTCCTTGTGCTAGAAGGGTACAAAGTTTGTGCAAATAGGAAAATATCTGTTGTGGTTTTGGAAGCCTTAAAGGAATCCTTACCGGGACCCTTGCATCTTTCCCTAACAAGAATTGTCAACTGTGATTACTAGAGACAATAACATAAGTTTCACGCACGAATATTCGGTTTCCGAAGAGAAACGAACTCAGGAACACTATTCACGAACACTATTCTCTCTGGACAGTCTGTCTCTCAGTAAGTCGCACGGCTTCAAAGGGGCATGGAGAGGAGTGCGCCTCGGGGCGGCACGAGACCGTCGACGCATGGAAGAATCGATTAGCGTTCGATTTTGGAGAATAGAGACAAAACGATCGATAGAATAGGATGCAGTAGAAGTGTGAGATGTAGTGCAATAAGTCAAAAGGTCAGAAAGAGTTTCTAGTGACAGCACTCCGTGAACCAAGTGGAAGCGTTCCCGCCGCCAGCATTTGTGACAGATGTCCGGCGGGAATTGAATGCGTAGTTTTCGAACTGTTTACCGGAACAAATGGATTTTTTGTGTTGGGCTGCGCTATTGACAGGGCTGGCTCTCGCCGGCACCGTCGTCTCAGTCCGCTCTGAAATCCCTCGATGTCCTTCCGCCGAACTCATGAACCAGTGTAGGGTGAAAGACAGTCAATCAGTACTGCTAAGCTGCAGCAGAACCCTACCGCTACTGAACAGAAAGCGACGAAATTCAATTAGCAGTTTTATTACTCATGAGCAGAAACGAAGTGAATGATTAAGTGTCAATCAGGCGGTAGATGCCTCAGGCGGTGAAACTCCAGTTCGGGGGGGGGCACTCCATTTTTTCTCCAATACTCAAGATAAGGATTAGAGGGCTCACGACACGTAATCGACTCATTTAAAGTAGACTTCTGATAAATATTGGTGTAATGGGTGAGAAACCCTGAAACGTTTTCACATTTCCGCCTGCCATGACCCAAGGGAACGGTCCTGGACCAGGAGAAAGGACACCTCCGCAAAGGGCTAAGGGTGCAGGAGCTCCAGGGTGGATCACCTGTGCAGAAAAGTGGATGGGATGTGGGCAGGTAGTGTGGAATGTAGGACATCCACCGGTCCTTATCAAAAGTACGCTCGAAATGAGTCGTTCACTTATTATCTTATC